TTTTATTTGTATAGCTTTTTAACCTTGCCAATTAATCAACTTTTATTTGTGTTATATTACTCATAACATGACACTCCTTGTAGTGTCAGTATGTCACTTCCTTCATTTTTCCTTTACTTGTATATTCAAACTCAACTTCCTGGGTTATAATTTCAATTCTGTACTTATTAGCTGCTTAGATTCCTTTACTCCCTTATCTCACTGCTGAATCAAAACTGCAATTCCAAATTCTAGGTAAACACATGTATCTATTTATCTCCCTTCTTTTCTCTTTGTATTGAATGTTTTTGGCATAAATCACATAAAGATATTGATGACTTCTGTATCAATTCATATTATCCAATCTGACTCAGTCTAGTAATTAATGCTATTCACAAATCTTTTTACTCAATTTCATTTAACATTCTGTTTTAATCTCTCCTGTGACTATTGTTAACTTTTTCATTTTATTGGGGTCTTCAAGCATGTTCCTGACCAATTTATTTTCAGCTGACAAACATGCCTTTCCCATTGATAATGTGATAGTCTTTATTCTCTTCCTCTTACCCCCAAATTTCTGCAGATTTTTATAAACTTTGCTCTAACATAACCCACATCCTTCCTCACACAAAGAGTACCCACATCTATCTATATAAAACCCTAATATGCATATCAACAGAATGGCGGAACAACCTGCAGAACAATGGTTTGGCGGGGGGTGGGGCCTGTGAGTGGGCAGTGCCAGGCCAGCCAAGGTGGGTGCCAGTGGGCAGAGAAAGGTGACCAGCGGCAGCAGTGGGGAGTGGGGCTGGCAAGTGGGTGGTGCCAGGCCAGCCAAGGCAGGTGCCAGTGGAGGGGGGGGGGCCCATAGCCCCACCGGTTGCCTGCAGTTCAGCCCTGATCACCGACTAGGCCGAGGGACCCTACCTGTGCACGAATTTCATGCACTGGGCCTCTAGTGAATATATAATGACTTGTACAAATGTGCGTAGTCAATCTCACTAATAAGTGAGAAAGTGTTAAACAACAAAACAATCAGTTGCTGTATCTGGGGAGGGTGTTTAACATTGATAGGGAGAATTACAACAGACTCCATGTTTTTTGCTGAGTAGAAGAAGAATGTTTGTCTTGGACCCAATCTAGCAGCTAACCTAGCAAAAAGCACATAAGAAAATACAAATAGTTACAAAAAAACCCCAAATACAATATATACAAAAAACGAAAACAACAAAAAACAAGTCTAAAACTTTTCCATTGCTTCAGCTTAGAGAACACAGAGCAATCCACTGGAAGACAGAGTGCTCAGAACAGATAAACTTGAGCAAATCACAAGGCACCTGCAAAGAGAGACACTCATCTCCTCATCCCTAGTTAATCATTAGAAAGGTGCAAGCTGTGTGATATAAAATTGAAAGTAACAAATGAACAAACAAGAAAAACAAACAAAAACTCATAGACACAGAGGACAGTGTGGTGGTTAGGAGAGGGAAGAGGAGTTGGGGGCGGTAATAAAATGTAAAGGGGCCAAATGGATGATGATGGAGGATGATCTGACTTTGGGTGGTGGGCACACAATGCAATATACAGATCATGCATCATAGAAATGTACACTTGAAACCTATATAATCTTAGGAGGAGGAGGAGGAGGAGGAGGAGGAGCCGTCCTCCCTGGGGAAAAGGGAAGCAGGGGTATGGAGGGGTTAATAGCGTCTTTCCTGTCATCAGTTGATTTCTAAAGAACAGGGTCAGGAGGCTGTGCTTTCCCACTGCCCAGTTTTCTCCTAATGGGGGATGGGATGTGGAGAGAATAAAATACTGGGACAGACTGACATCATGTGTCTCCAGATGTCATCGACTGAGGAGAACGTAATATCACTTCAATGGTATTCTTGTCTCAAGTGTGCAACCAAAACCTAATAATAAAGAAACATCAAACTCCTACTGAGGAATATTTCACAAAACAACTAATGTATACTCTTAAACAATTTCAAGGTCAAGAAAAAAACAACAACTGAGTAACTCTTCCTGATCAAAATAAACTAAAGAGATAAAGTAACTAAATGCAATGTATGGTGCTGGATTAGATCCTGGGCCATTTAAATAAAAAAAGACACACAAAAAACTACTAAGACATTATCAGGACAATTGATACAATATATAGACCATGGATTAGATAATAATATTGAACTAATGTTTAATTCTCAGACTTTGAGGATTGCATTATACTTACACAAAATAGAATATCTTGTTTAAGGAAATATACACAGAAAAAATTAGTAATACTTAAAGGACCACAGTATCTCCAGCTTATTCAAGTTGGATCCCATCTTCACAAGTTCTGCATCTGAAGATTTGACCAACTGGATATTTGAAAAATGTTTGAAAAAAATGTGACATTGTTACTGACATGTACTATGCAGTTAGGCCTATGATGGTTGGGTCTGTACTGAACTTGTATGGATCTTTTTCTTGTTATTATTCCATAAACAATACTATATAATAACTATTTATATAGCACTTATGCTGCATTAGGTATTATAAGAAATTTAGAAATGATTTAAATTATACAAAAGACTCTGCTTAGGTTATGTGCAAATATTATATCATTTTACTAGTATGGCATTTTGAGAAAAGTAGGATTTTAGTATTCTCGGTGGGGGGTCCTGGACCCAATCTCCTCTGGGTACCAGGGGACGAGACTGTATACAGAGAGAATGAGAGAGAGAGAGCAAATAGTGCAAAATGGAACCAATTGGTGAATCTGAGTTAAGAGTACATGAAAAATCTGCAGTTGAGTCAATTAAAAATCAGTTGATTTGATGATAAAAATCTCACATCTAATTTGGTATCACATAGAGATTGCAGTAGCTACATAAGTAATGTCAAGAGCTGGCCATTGCAACTAGTTAAATCTCCTGAATTCTCTATTACTGAGAATAAAAAGAGCATTATGATTGAAGGTATATTACCCAATAATATACATAGCTACCCTTCATTGAATGTTGATTGTTTGTTAGCATCCTGTTACATATTTACCATATTACTTAACTCCACTCCAACTGATTATAGCTGTGTTAGTCATTTGTTTTTTTTGACCTCACATGGTTTTCTTTTTCTCATCCTCTGATCCTCTCTTGATCCCAAGGGACTGTCTGGGATAATAAAATTTCCCAGGCTCCCTTGCATCTGATTTCCTGTTAGGTTATCAATGGGAGGCCTTGGTGTGAAAATGGAGTTGCAGAGAAGGGGAAGCCAGGGCATCTCTCCCTTGTCAGTAAGCAGCTGTGTGTGCTGCATCTCTGGCCTTTTCTCTTTGGAGTGACTTTCCACCAGTAAAAATCTGTTGGTTTTTTAATTCTTTGATACCTTTGTAACTAGTTTCCTAGAATGTAAAATTCTTCTATTGAATTGCCTTTCATGGGTTCTATTTTTTCCTGTCTTTGTTTTCTTGTCTGATATAAAGACAGATACTATCTTCATTGTATGGATGGATAAGAGACTTGTGCAAACATCACTCAACTAGTTTAACAACGGGCTTTCAAACCAGTTGTGCTTCATTTCAAAGCTCAAGTACTTATACTACTACACTGTATCCAAATGATATTCCAAATGAATATCCAAATAGTTTTCATTAATCATCTTCCGATTACTTAGCTCCAATTGTTTGCATTATGGCACTAACTACCTATTATTATTATTTAATTGTCTATCTCTCCCAATAGTTGGTGAGACCACTTGCGAACAAGCACATATGTTATTCATCTTTGTATCACTAGCACCAACTACTGTGTTTGGAATGTAGCAGAGCTTTAATAAATATTTGTGAAATGAATGAATAATAATCACTGCCATTTACAGAGTGACTCTTTTATGCCAGCAGCTATGCTAGGGATTGGTCTCATGTAAAATTTACAACTCAATCTTTATACTTATATTGCAAGACAGGAATAAATATTCCAGTACCTTAGATAAGTTAAAAAAAAAAAAAAAGAAGGCTCAATGAGTTTAAACAACTCACAACTAAACTAGGACTAAACCCAAGTTGACTGGGCCTCAAGTTCTGACATTTTTTATTATATCTAGCTGCCTTTCCATATCCGTTAATGTGAATGAACAAGTACACAAATAAATGGGTTGGGGGGGGGGAATCTGAACACTTTGGATTTTCAGTTATTTTGGGAGCTTTACAAAGAGATAAAAACTCCTTTCTCTATGAGAAAAAGGAAGAATTCAGTATTTACTTGGCATAATTAATGGAAGGAACATGTTTCTGTAACCAAAACTATGTGTGTGCAGGCAAAAGGACAAAAGAATTGGGATAAAATTTTAAAGAAACAAAATAGTTTACATTGCCAGCGTGGAAAAGATTGGCCACTCTGATAATAACCTGATCATTCTTTAGCGTTATTTGCATTGGATGTAACACTGGTGCTATTCACAACCAGTTCTCCTGAAGACTTGGGAAGTCGAGTATCAGTTTGGCTTTTCCGTGTCTTGGTCTATTATCAGAGTCGGACAGTAAGTTTTCTAAAGTAACAGAGTAAGTATATTTATTTTGCTTGTGTTTCTGTGCATTTCACTCTTTGGTTGGCATGGAGAAATTGCAGGCATGGCCATATGGCTCAGTTAAGTTTCTCCTTTTGTTTTGCCTAGAGTGATGCATCCCTGGTACCCCCTCTAATCATAAGAAGTAAAATAATACCTGTATTTGTAAGGCTTATTTGCAGAATCCAATATTTTATTCTTTGATTTCTGATGAAAATGAACTAATAGAAGTAAAATAACTTTTGTAGGCATTAGACAAAGAGTCATTGTTGGTTCTCCATGTGCTCCCCTGGCACATGCTTGCTTGGTTTGGTATTGGTTGAATTATTTCAGCTGGATACTCCCAAGAGGCTGTCCTCTTCTTGCAGAGGGAGAAGCCATTTGAAGATTCTGGAAATAAACAATTTTCTTAAGATGTTGCTGGTATGACTCTCTCTCTCTCTCTCTCTCTCTCTCCCCCCTCCCCCCCTGCCCAGGAAAGGATGTTCTCCTGAGTCTTCTTCATGTATGTACTACTAGTTTTGCCATGATAAAGTAAAGCCTTTATTTTGTTAATTCAATACTATGATGTAAAATTAAATGTATGCATTTCCCAGTCTTTAAAAAAAAGATGTCTATATATCTAACACGGGGGAAAGAGCACAAACAAGGTCATTTATTTGTTTTGTAAAAAAATTGTATTCTTTTGTGATTGAGATTTGTTAAGGCTGGCAGCTAAGGAGCGTCAAAGACCTGAGTGCTGCTGTTCAGAGCTCCAGTCACGCAAGGTGAAAAGTGCTAGAGCCCTGCTATCCAAAAATGTGTATATAGTTAACAATTCTGTAATGTGCTTCGACTACAATGAAAACAAAACTAAACAAAACAAAAAAGAAACCAGAGTTGTGACCAGGAGACATGGAAAAAATGCAACCACATTTTTGTGAGAATGCATACTGAAGAATTTCCCGCTCCCCTTTGAATGCTGAGAAGGGGTTAGAGAACTAAAATGCTTCTCCTCTTAATACAGCTTCAGCCAGTCATTTTCATTAGCAGTGATGATTGATGAGGATTTATCTGTGCCACTGTGGTCCCAGGAACAAAAGTCACCGTGTAAACACCCTGTGCTAACAAAAAGGGATTGTTCACACGGCTGGCACTTGCCCTTCTCAAGGATATGAAGAAACAATGCGTGCTTTCCCTGATTTGCAACCACAATGCTCAAAGTGATTGTGACATGAACTATCGGATTTCATGAATTTTGTTCAAGAAACAATAGATTTTACTGTGAATTAATTTGTTTTTCTCTACTAACGTGTGTATGAAAAGCTAAAATGTTTTCACTGTATATAGGAAAATGTTCAGTGTTAATTGAATGGCATTGAATTCATTCCAAGTGCTTAGTTTCAAAATGCCTTTTATCCCAGTCAACATGTTTGTTTATAAGACATCCTTCAAGAGAGCAAACACATTTTGAAATAAATCTTTGAGGCATGGTGATAAAATGTGCTCAAGATGGTTCCATAGTGTCACGAAACATAGAAGGAACTACAGTATTCTACTATGCGGTGATCTTCTGTTACTAACTTCACCTTTTATGTCCCCTGGTCAGATGGGAAAACATAGGCATTTAGAAGAGTCATGTCTTTAGCCACTAAAAAGAGTGAAGACAACTTTGACATGGAAGAGGAATAAGTTCTCTTCCTCTCTTATTGTTTGATTGGGTGACTATATTGGGCTCGGATTTTGGCAAGGAGAGCTAGAAGGGAAAATGAAGGGGAGTAAGATTGGGTTCTAAATCATGAGAAGGAAGAGGAGAGAGCAGTTGAGCGGTTTATGTATAATAAAAGCATATGTATTACAGATGAGGGCCAAAGAAGAACAGTTTCCATTCATTTGAAAAGTTATCCTATTCTCTCTTTTTTTCTTCAAAACTAGCTCTTGCACTTGAACTTTGATTAAGGTGATTTGGCATTTTATGTGGAGATTGCAGCATGAGTTCATCTGTGGGGCCATTTGGAATTGCCAAGACTTTTTAATAATTTCCATTAATGATATATGAATTTTTTCATTTCTTAAATACCAAAGCATTTGTAATTTGATCATACACTGTTTAGTTATATTCCATGTGTTTTATTTAAAAGTTTTACCATTCCCAATTAAAATATAGGTTTCTTGGGATCTGGGTACAAGTGCTTTCCACAGAGCCTAATTAGGTTATATTGTCTTTGGGATAGCGAGTCTTTCTTGTTCGTTTCCAAAATCCTGTGCTTAACACTATGGCTGGCACACAGTAGACTTTCAATATATAATTGTGTCCATCACAGCATGAGAAAAGAGAACTAAGCTCGTACACTGTGCAGTGTTTGTTGCCTTTATGTTTGTAGGGGAATAGGATTCAGCAAACTTATAGAGGTAAAGCAGTAGGGTCTTTAAAAATTAGTGCATTTAGGATCATTTGTTAAGTGGATATTGTTCAGAGGATTTTAATAAAGTAACTTGGGAAATACTGCTAATATAATATTCTCCCTTCTTAAAATAGATTTACTAGAATAAATATTGTCACAGTGAACACTTTGGTTTTGGTACAAAATATTGTCCTAGTTTCAAGACACTAGGACAAAAATAGACAAAATTTTAAAAAGGGGTTAATAAAATTGAATAGAGTTTAAGTAATGTTTTACATATAAAAATGTGTGCCTATATAATTAATATATATATACTTATAGATACACTTAGACCTGTATTTATTACATAGATCTGCCTTTATGTGTGTAGGGGAATAGGATTCAGCAAACTTATATGTTTGGTCATCTCCTAAACCTCATATCTTGCAACTGTAGGATTCTTTTCCAGATCAGAGAACTATTTGTTGTTTTTACTTAGGCTATTTCCGTAATTAAAATTCCATGTCTCCCCAGGTTTCCGTGAATCAGCAGTGCCCCAGAAAGTGCTTCCCTTCTTGAAACTCCAGGGAAGTATTGGAACGAAAAGAACTTGAAGAGGGAGCCTAGCCAAACAGAGATTTTTGAACTTTGGTAGGCTAGCTGAAGCAGAGTTTTAGCACAAACACAAATCAAAGTCTGTGTGTTCTTAAAAGCAGCATTTTCATGTAAGTCCAAAAAAAGTGCACTTTGGTTCTATTTGTTTTGGTTAAAGAAAGGAAAAGTTTTGTTTTAACCACATGGTCATTATTTTGTAAGAGGACATAACAAATAATTCTATCTTTAATCTCACTAAAGAGTAACTAAAGTTATTTGATGTGACCTTTTTCAATGGAAACTTAACAACTAAATCTTCTTTAACGTCATTATTTTCTAGATGGAGATCAAAAGCTTCCCAGGTGTTTTTGTACAATGGTTTCTGATTATGTTATTCAAATTTAGTATTTTCTTCAAAAGAATGACGACTTAGGAGTTTGTCAGCAATTTAATATATTTTTGTCTTCTTAAAACAATAGAACTAAGAAATATCAAGATTTAAATCATAAATACTTTGGAACACTCAGAAGAACAACATGGGAGAAACTGAGAAAATTGAAACCCATAGAATAAGATGTGTTTCCAAGTTGAAGGTATGGAATTTTTTGCATGTATGTATGTATATGTATTTTTTTTAACTTAGAGCTTATAAAGTTGTTCATATGTTCATGAAGTAATCTAATGTTAACGTCCTACTACCTGTTATGGTGATAATTTCTTGCTTTAATGAAGTATGTTTTATAACTGAAAGTGTGTCTAAATAGGGTTATTGATTCAGGCAATTTAATCGGAGATAGTGTGGGGAAACTTAAACAGAAGACAAAGTCTTTAAAATTTTCAGGCGTAATATTACAGCAGGACTTATTTTCCTAGATCAAAAGCTAATTAAATGCCCCCCGCCCCTTCAGGGGTTTCTGGGCCAGAGGAGTGTGGGGATCTCTCCTGGAAAATGGTTCCTAGGCAGAAATGATTGCTGATCTATAGGCAGTGATCACTCCACAATGACCAAGTAAAGCAACTATTTACTTCAAGCTTTGGCAGCATGCTAACCATTTTCAATAAGAAAAATGCTCATTTGTTAGCTGTTTCTAATATCTTGACTATTTCACAGCAATTTCTTTTTGCATTTTGCCTTCAAACACAATCTGAATTTATTTTAAGCCAAGGGATCTGGATATTTATCTTGGTTCTATAGCTAGTGCCTGCAAGCGGTTTCCAAACTAAGACATTGCCAGCAATTTCTCCCTTTCAAAAGTTTATTTTTTCTTCGTACGTGTGTAGGGAAAATATACACATGTACGTGAAAGTGGGGGATTATGATATAGATTTAGAAAACTAATTTTGCCTGAAATGCCACGTTTGTTATATTTGTAAATTTTCCCTTAAACTATCCTCAATTGTCATGTCCTTCTCTTGAAACTGAGTGGTTAAAAATAAGGTTCGAGGCCCAGGCTCCCTGGGTTCATATCTAAGTTCAACTGCTTACTTGCTTCAACCCTTAGACAAGTTGCTTAACCTCTTTGTGCTTCCGTTTTCTCATCTGAGAAGGTTAATAAAATATAATTATCTGATAGGATTTTTTTCTTTTTACATGCTTGAAATAATGACTGTACTATTGTAAAAATTCAATAAATATTCGCTATTTATTATTGATAGCAGTTGTGGAAAAAGTCAAGTCAGGCATTATTTATAAACAGTTGGTCTTTAATTTTTGATCACTTTTGAGTTTGGCAAGATCAGACATTGATCTGAATGTTATGGCAAAATAATGCAAGTAGAAGTTTATCAGGTAAAAGTGAGAGGCAATTGCTTAATAATCAGATTTTGTGTGTGTGTGTGTAAGAACAATGTATTTTTCTAACGATGTGAACAACAAATATAATAATTTAAAATGTGCCTTGCTTACATTGGCTTGATTATATTAAACCTGAAGGGATCAATATCATAAATTTAATATTTATTTATTTTTATATATTTACTAGAGGCCCGGTGCATGAAATTTGTGCTGGGTCGGGGTGAGGGAGGGAGGGTGTGTCCCTCAGCCCAGCCTGCACCCTCTCCAATCTGGGACCCCTAGAGGGATGTCTAACTGCCCGTTGAGGCCTGATTCCAGGCCCGATCTCACAATCCAGGACTGCTGGCTCCCAACCACTTGCCTGCCTGCCTGTCTGATTGCCCCTAACCGCTTCTGCCTCCCAGCCTGATCACCCCCTAACCACTCCCCTGCCAACCTGATTGATGCCTAACTGCTCCCCTGCCAGCCCAGTCACCCCTAACTGCCCTCCCCTGCTAGCCCAGTCACCCCTAACTGCCCTCCCCTGCCAGCCCGATTGCCCCTAACTTCCCTCCCCTGACAGCCTGGTCCCCCCAACTGCCCTCCCCTGCAAGCCTGGGTCCCCCTCAACTGTTCTCCCCTGTAGGCCTGGTCCCCCCCCCAACTTCCCTCCCCTGCCGGCCATCTTGTATTCACATGGGGGCAGCCATCTTGTGTGTTGGAGTGATGGTTAATTTGCATATCACCTCTTTATTATATAGGATTGAATTTATTGTGGTTACATTGGTTAATACAATTATATAGGTTCCTGGTCAAGGGCACATACTTGAGTTGCAAGTTCATTCTCAGCCCTGAATTGGGGTTGCATTGGAGGCAACCAATCGATGTGTCTGTCTCATAGGGATGTTTCTCTCTATCTCTCCCCCTCCCTCCCTTCTACTCTCTCTAAAAATCAATGGAAAAAATACCCTCAGGTGAGGATTAACAACAACAACAACAAAAAGTTGCTTGTCAATTCAAGGATAACTTAAATTGGAGATTTAATTCAGTCTTGTGGTAGAAGATATTTTGTCAACAGATGGCAAACATACAGTTTAAAAATAAAATCTTCATATGTTTTCTTATATTCTTTTCTTTCTAGATGTTTCTGCTGGCAATAACATGTGCATTTATATCCAAAACACTATCTGGATCTTATATGAATTCCATGCTCACACAAATAGAGAGACAATTCAACATCCCAACATCACTAGTTGGATTTATTAATGGGAGTTTTGAGATTGGTAATGAATTATTCCCATATTACTTCCTTTTATAATTTATTTTATCTATAGAGCTAGTCTGAATTTTATTCTCCTTATTTATTTTAGGCAATTTAATCTTACTGAAGAGTATATTTTCTGAAACAGATTGAATAGCCTAGCTAAGTTTGGAGTATGCTTAGAAATAATTCATTTAAATATTGCATCTGAATAACACCTAAATATTATCACATGTCCCGCACTGGATATTTTATTCTAATAGTTTCTGGTTATATAGCATAAGTAGTTAAGTATTTATAATATTTACATTTAATTTATCATTTGATGACTCTTAAGGGCTCCATCTTGATACTTAGGAAATACAATTGAAAACAAAGGAATCTGTTTTCCAAAGGAAAAAGCAAATATTTTCCTTCTCCTGTTGTTTCTGGGAAACTGACAATTCTTCCTAAGTGCAGAGGGAAGAAGAAACTGCTTTCACATCTCTCTGAATTGAGGGAAAGATAAAGTCTATTCTTAGGTCCTCTTCTGTGAGGACAGAGAGGAAGAATGAGGGTGATAAAGATTTCTCCTGTGAACTTGCTGCATAGAAATATGAATACCACTCCTTTATAGTTTTATCATGGCTCCTACATCCTTCAAGATAAGAGTTATCTTTAATATATTTAATCAAGCTCTGAACGAAAAATCAGGATTGAGGAGAGGCAAAATTGAAACGGGCGATTCTTGATTCTGTCTCCTAGTGTTCAGCTCCCTGTATCACCTGTATGCTAGGTGATGGAGTTACTCTTTACATAGTCTTGTATAGCTCAGCTCATGGTCTAAAGCAGTGGTTCTCAACCTTCCTAATGCCGTGACCCTTTAATATGGTTCCTCATGTTGTGGTGACCCCCAACCATAAAATTATTTTTGTTGCTACTTCATAACTGCAATTTTGCTACTGTTATGAATCATAATGTAAAAATCTGATATGCAGGATGTATTTAGGCAACCCCTGTGAAAGGGTCGTTTGACCCCCAAAGGGGTCGCGACCCACAGGTTGAGAACCGCTGGTCTAAAGGATGGCACAGATACAAAAGAATATTTTTGACTCTCAGCTCTTTATACTTATCAAGGGCTTGTCCATAATAATCAGGTTTCCCCAATTAGTTTCTTTATCCTAAGACATGGGAATCAATTTTTCATTGAGTTATTTACTCCTCAAATCCAGACTTACTTCTAAAACACTTGGAAAATTGGGGAATCCACAATTTTTTTACTTCTAAGGAAAGAAGTAGAAATAAACACAGATCCCTCACTTGGTTATGTTGACCAATATAAAGTTATATTTCAATCATAAGCTAGAAAAACATTTATCTATCTGAATTTGACTTTTGCTTCTTTTTTTTTCAAGCATAGGAAACATAATATTCTGATATTCTGTGGAGCAGGCATGGAGAGAGAGGCCAGAGGTGACACATGGTCTGACACCTAAGGCTAGCTAATCACAAACACAGCCTTTAAAAATTCCCAGAATCAGTCTTCTATCCCTTCTTCTGGCTTCCCTTTCTCTGCCCTTTTTAATTGTTGTTGTTGCATAGAGATCTGTTTATGTATCTTTCAACATTGTAAAATTGTGCCGTGCCAGCACGGCTCTGGGTGAACCTGACATGGGCGGGGCGGTGAAGGATTAGAAAAGACAGACAAGAGAATAAAGCTGGGGCCTAGGTCGGACACTGCCCTCTGATTAGAGAGACAGTGCCACGGCCTGCAAGCCGAGTCTTTATTTTATAGCCAGATTCCACGAGGCAAAGTGAAGGCGTGGTCAAGATGTTTACAACATTCTCAGGGGTTTCGAATCTACTCAATTACATGCAACTGAACTCTATTAAGCCCACATCACTCAGCCACGTGGGACCACAGGTTCAGACCATAAGGTCAAGCTTACAACTATAAGCCTTAGGCTATAATTGTGCTGGGACTTGCACGTGGCTTTGCCAGGAGAGGATAGTGCCCTCTCAGTCTGAGGCTTGAACCTGTCCAAATGCTGTAGCCGCTCTCCACATAAAATAGCCCTTCTTCAGGGCAGAGGTTGTGTCTTATTTGTTTCATGAATCCCTAGCACCAATCCCAATAGTTGAGATAGTGTTTATACAATGAATGCTAGATAGTAAATGATTGAGTGTTAGGCTGTTCATTAAGCTATTGCACATACTTACTGAAATATTTATTTTTAACTCACTTTCTCCTCCTTAGGAAATCTTTTTTTGATTATATTTGTGAGTTATTTTGGAACGAAATTTCACAGACCTAGAATGATTGGTGTCGGATGTGCTGTTATGGGCCTTGGGTGTTTCTTACAGTCTCTACCTCATTTCCTCATGGACCGGTAAGCATTCAGGCGCTGATAATTTTTTAGATTCAATTTTCAACTGCTGGAAATGAAGCTTTGGAATTTCCTTTATAGGAACAATGCTTCCCCAAAACTCAGAGCACCTTAACAGAAACCAAAAACGCAAATTCTGTTCCACTAGTCCGTTTTGTGTTCTTGGCTGACTCGCTTCCAGTTACATAGTCACATAAATTTTGTTAATTTATGATATAGGGATTTGGAACACCTCTTTTATGGAACTGAGTCTGAGTGAAATATTTTTAGGACCTTGCAAAAACTGGAGATGACTCCTTTCTTTGGACTATTTAGACAATTTTAATTATAATGTGGTTCTGTTTAATTGTAGGTCATCAAGAGACAGACCAGTCTGAAGTTTGATTTTAATTTTTACTAAAGTCATATGTGTACAAAGTTGTAAAAATAAAATTATATTGAAAAAAGAGTTGCCTCCTGCCCCTTTAACATTGCCCATATCACTTCTTTCCAGAGGCAGCTACTTGAAACTCTTTTCCCTCTTCTGCTATTTACCTCCCAAATGTCTCAATATTTATCCTTTTAGTTTTTGATACTTTAGTGTTATGCCATATATAATGACTTTCTGCTATAAAATCATACTCATTCTTTCCATGTGTATGACTATGTCAATATTTTATCATTCATTTCTTAGTCACTTTTTAATTTTTCCCTGGATTTAATCATTGCTTATAAAAATTAATTCACTTTCTTGTTATTTGTCACCAAACTTTCCACTGGTAGGGTAACATCTTCTCAATATACTCATACATATCAGACGGTTTCATTTTCATCTTAGAGATATCTCTCCTGTCACCACCGACTCATCATCTACAATCCAAATGGGAACCTCTAGGCCTGCTACATGGTAGCTTTCTTGAAATTTTTCCTTATCAAAATCTTTGGGAATTTGCTTTGCCTCTTTCCTCTATTCAGTTACTTATTTCTTGGGTATCACATCTTCTGCTTCCCTTTTTACTTTTACTTCTTTATGTGGAAAATATTGTCTAAGAGGTTTCTGAAAAAGTGTCTAAGGGAAGTAATTCTTATTCTACTCACCCTTGATTGATAGTTTGGCTGGTGTAAAATTCTAGATTGGAAATGTTTGCCCTAGAAAATGTGAAGGTATTATTCCAATACTTTCTAGCTTCCAGTGTTACTATTGAGAATTATGTGCCATTCTCACTCCTGTGATCAGTTTCCCTTCTCTGGGATCTTTTGGGATTTTCTCTTAAGCTCCAAAGTCTGGATTCCTGATACTTAGTGTAAATCCGTTTCCTTCATTGTGCTCGGTGCCTTCAATCTAGACATTTGGAAAAGTCACTTGTATTATTTCTTTGGTAATATCTCCCCTACCCCTCTATTTTTCTTTTTGTAGAACTTCTACTTGAATATTGTATATCCCGGATTAAGCTTATATGTTTCTCAACTTTTTCCTTCAATTTTCTATCTCCTTGAATTTCCGTTACTTTTTGGGAGATTTCTTTAACTTTATTTTCCAAATCTTTGAGTAGATTTCTAGTTTTTGCTATCACACTTTTAATTTCTAAGAACTATTGTGTTTTGAATGTATCTTTTTAAAGAACATCTTATTTTCTTTAAAAAATGCAGTGTCTTTTCCCATCTAAATTTCCTTCTTCGGTCTTCATTGTCTCTGTTTCCTCCTAGTGTACAGGTTTTATTTGTTTTGACTCTATCTTTACTGATACAGTGTTTTCTGGTCGTTCTTGTTTTTTTGTTCATATATAAGAGAGCAGTATAACAACATCAAACTAGCTGGAAGTTCTCTATAAATGTGTAGGACATGATTAATAGAGGACTTCTTTGTATGGTGATTGTACAGGGACTGGCTATTTTTTAGATGGCTCAGAAAAGCCATAACCTATTAGTTACTTTTGACAGGGATTCTCCAATCTGTTGCCTAGCAGGTAAAAGCTTGGTTACCATCCAGGTGGGAGTGAGAATCTCACTTTTCAGTATGTACATTTTAAAAAAAATCTACCCTTAGTTTTTACTATAGCCTTCTTATTCTCAATGTGCCTGTTCAAACACTCTAGAGTCAAAGACCGTTTCAATTGAATGGCAGAGGATGTCTGTAAGGGTTTAAATGCTCCTTTTACACACTTTAAGCCAATCCTTATTTTTGAACCATGCCTACTTACCAATTTAGAAATGTCTTATATCATGCCTGAAACTCTCCAGGAATATGTGGCACATACTTGGTTGTTCCCATGCAGGCACTTACTTAGGGTTGCATTTTTGATATCTACTAATTCAGTGACCACTCAGTTATATGTTTTCCCATTTTCAAAATCTTCTTGTCAATTTTTTCATTCTTTCTATCCCTGTGGTATTATTGCCTTTCCTTTTCTATTTTAAAATCCATTCACTGTCATTTTGCTGATGTTTTGGGAATGAATGGACTTTGAATGAGTTCTTAGGTGTTAAGTGGATAAGTTACATGAAAAAGACATTTTGTCTTCTCAGGTATTTCTGTAAGGATCAGAAGTTTCCAGGCAAAGAGTTTTTTACTGACTTTTTATTTCCTGTCATCTCCAACACAATGCCAAGTTGTGTTAACATTTACATTTCTCTCTACCCTCTTCCAAAAGTGTTATTTTGTTTGAAGCTGGCATGTCTCATGGCATCATAGGTATGGAGACAGAAGCATTTGTCCACAGTTCACAGTCAAACTCATGGGCATTGTTCTAAGGGAAAGGTGTTTTAACACTCAAGCTCATTTGGAACTCAGAGGACAAGTCTTCCACCATTATCCCTAACAAAGAGAGATTTTATTTGGCGTATTTTCCTCCATTCTTTCACAATTTAGGATAATTTAGGATAGTCTGACAAAGGGTATGCTGAGCTTATGGCAATTTGCCTAATGTAAATGATCACAGTCTATTAATCCCTTTGTTCTTATGAGAAGAGGAAAGATCATTACATTGTGCTGTCAAGTGTTTGAGTTTCTCCTAAGGTCTCTTATTATAATGGGCAAAGGTTTTGTTTCTCTTAGGGGTTAATGAACACATGCAGGAATTATTGTTTAGATTCTCAGAAAGTGGGGGTATATTTCTTATGAGCGAATCTCAAAAAATCCAAAGTTGGAGACTTGTTTTGTGTTGTGTCCCTGCACCCCCACAAAGCCTTTGCTTCTTAATTATATTTTGTCAAGTTTAGAGTCTATTATTTTTATTAGTTTTTGTCCCGTATCCCACAGTAATTGTTTCCAGTAAATGATCACCTACAAACTACAGAAACTTGATGTTAGGTAATCTGAAAGGTAGATCATACACATGCAAATAACTGAAAGCTAGCTGTCAAGGGATTGCGCATTTATAATGAGCGGCAAGTTTTTTGATGATATTAATTTATGATGATTATTTGGCAAAGATGAAAAGAGTTCTTTACTAAATTTGAATATTATATCTTAAGGGAAGCAGGAATTAATCTGCATAATGTTCACTTTGCCTTTATTAGTTTCTAACATAAAATGTTTCCCCTGTGTTCATACAGATATGAATATGAATCTACAGTTGTAGGCAATTTGTCCTCAAACAGTTTCTTGTGTAATGAAAATGGAACCCAGATTTTCAGACCAACAGAAGATCCATCAGGTTGTTGACTTCATTTTATTGTTTCTGTTCATTGAATTTGAAACTGAACACGTGTTACTGAGGGGTTTGAATGAGTTACTGGGTTTGGTTAAATGACTAAGTAAAATGAACAAAAGATATTTTCTTTGTTCAGGAATTTTGGAGGGGATCCCAGAGGGGAATAGGAATGGTTAATAGTAGAGCATATTACTCCTATATATTTGAATATACATATTAACACTTTTTTGTCTATTCTTCAAAATGGTTATTTAAAAACTAGTGGCCCAGCGCGCGAAATTGTGCGCAGTAGGCTGCCTGCCATGGGAGCTGGTGGAAGCCACAGTGCACCTGTGGGAGGCAGGAGGGAGCTGCATCGCTTCCGCAGGAGGGAGGTGGGAACCACACTGCTTCCATGGGAGCCGGGAGGGAGCCGCTGCCACTAGTGGGAGCCAGAAGGGGTAGGGGAGGGACCAAGAGGTGCTCCATGCATCTCCTGGCGACCTGTTGTGCATGCAGCCCTGCCCACCCGCACATGCCTCGCCATACATGCAGCCCCACCCACCTGCACATGTAGCCTCCTGCTGATAGGTTGTTACAGCATGAGGGCAAGATGACCATTTGCATATTAGCCTTTTATTATATTGGACAAGTCAGAGACATCCATTCAAGAGTCACTGCAGAGTTAATTCCACAGAGGAAAACAACTTAGAAGAATGGATTTATACAATTTGTTCTATGCAATGATAGGAAATAGAGATAGAAACAAAGTTTTAAATGTCTGTGTTATATCACTGATCTTCTATAGCAGATCAGAGAAAGCAATTATGCCATAGCTCTCATTCATTCTCTTTTTTTTTGAACTAGGAACTTGTCTTTGTTTCTCTTTCTTTATAGAAGTGGTGCTTCTTCTAGTTTCCCCATAATCCCATGCTCAAATGTGCAGGTCTCTGGCCCTTATTATGCTAAGGGACCTATGTAATCTCGTGATACTTAATCTGGAGGTGACTCTGTTGATTCATATCAGTGGGAGTTACAATGGTCCCCAAGGCTGAGAATTTCACTGCCAGCATGGAATCAGAAGGACTCAAAATAGTTTCAAGGAGTGTAAGAAAGCTGTCTCAGAAACTCTAAGCCAAAGGAACCACCTGGGGAAACAAAGGAAAATAGTGACATCAACAGTGGCCCTTGCTGTCTTCTTGAGCTGGCTTCTGCCAAAGGCTGACTTAGGTCTTATTTCCTATTTCTTTTTATTTTAAAAAATTTACATTGTAGAAGATAAATAAAAACTTCCCACTTTGGTGAATCTCCAATAAAGTGCATTAATTCTTTGATTACCTGTTATTTTCAGTTTTGTCCACGAATCACTGTACTCAACACAGAAAAAAATATGAATACTCAGAAATGAAGACTGTAATTTTCTGGACTAGAAATAACTGAGAGATAGACCTCAAAAGAAATTTCCAGATCTAGCTGTGCTCAGGACTCTCACATCTGTGGCAGTAGCTGGGCAGTTTATTGTAAATGAGAATGTTATAATTCACTTGCCTGAAAACATGACTCTATAGAGCAGTGGTTCTCAACCTTGGCTGCACATTAGAATCACCTGGGAATCTTTTTAAAATCCTGATTTATGGGCCTCATCCTCCGGAAATTCTGTTTCTTTGTTATAGGACGGGGCCAAAACATTAGTAACAAAGAAACAGAATTTCCGGAGGATGAGGCCCAGAAATCAGGATTTAAAAAAGATTCCCAGGTGATTCTAATGTGCAGCCAAGGTTGAGAACCACTGCTATAGAGTATTCTCTTTGACAGCTATTTTGGTTTAGAACTGAAATGGCTAAGTCTTCAGAGGCTTGCCTTCCTCCCTTTCAGTTCCCTTTGGCCTAGTCTTTGTTATTCTGCTAAGTAGCTGCTGCTCCAAGAATTCGGGTAAATTTCTTTGTCAAACCTTATTTGGTGGTTACAGTACACAGTAGATTATATAGAGAAAATGTGATTACTATCTAGTTAAGTATTTTTAGTGTCTATAAAGTAATTACAGCTGTAGAGAATTCAAACTTCAGTGAGACTCTTATTTAGATCTTGTAAGTATAGTATCAATTCTAGGGGGATATATTTGTGTTTTTTAAAATATATTTTTATTGATTTCAGAGAGGAAGGGAGAGGGAGAGAGAGATAGAAACGTCAATGATGAGAGAATCATTGATTGGCTGCCCCCTGAATGCCCCACACTGGTGATTGAGCCTACAACCTGGGCATATGCCCTGACCAGAAATCAAACCATGACCTCCTGATTCATGGGTTGAGGCTCAACTACTGAGCCACAGCTGCTGGGCTTCTTTTTTTTTTCCTTTTTTTTCCCCCTAGAGTTATTATAGAAATGGAGTAGCAGTCATAACAGCTAACTAGATGGTGTAGTTGTAGGCAAACTGAGGGAAAAATAGTTCTGACTTCTAGTATTTGCCAATTTCTGTGGTGTAAATGTTCCTATCAAACTATCAATGTGTTGTCATTAAGCATTGGATTGGGAAGAGGTGCATATTATACTCATCAAGAGATCTCTTCCAAACCAGTAGGAAATGGCTCCAGCATACAACATACACATGGCCATACCTAAGTACTCTCAGAAAATGCAAGAGGGATGGCCCAGTGAGTTATTGCTAGCATAGTAATATAAGTCATTTACAAGGTGCCATGTCGCATAAAGACTGTGAAATGCTTACCAGAATCTTAGAATTACTTCTATACTTATAGCTTAACTAGAGGTCTGGTGCACGAATTTGTGCACGGGTGAGGTCCCTCAGCTTGGCTGGTGATCGTGGCTGATTGGGGCCATCTCATCCAGTCTTGGTCGGGGCCTATCGGGGCTGGCCGGGAAAGGGACTGTGGGAGGTTGGCTGTGGGAGCACACTGACCACCAGGGGGCAGCTCCTAAGCATCTGCCCCCTGGTGGTCAGTGTGTGCCATAGCGACTGGTCAACCAGTTGATATAAAGGTCTCTTAGGCTTTTATATATATAGATATTTTACTATCAAAACACTAATGCAATATGTTTTTTCTTTTTAAAGCAGAGTGTGTGAAGGAAGTTAAATCATTAATGTGGGTGTATGTACTAGTAGGAAATATGATACGTGGAATTGGTGAAACTCCCATCATGCCTTTGGGTATTTCCTACATAGAAGATTTTGCCAAATCTGAAAACTCTCCTTTATATATTGGTGAGTTTGAAAATATGCCTTAGCTTCTTTTCAGGATAGTTAAGTCCTTTGAAGGTGGATATTAGTTATTTATTTGGACTCTTACTGATCTCCAGAATGATGAAAAAAGTACTGCAGCACAGGTAGTCATCAGTGAGTTTGTTCAATGGAACAATTACATGCTAACTTCAAATAAACCACTTTGCTAAATCTGCTCTTTGCTGTTGAAAATACTGCTAATCTAGTGTCCCTGGAGTTCTCTTTGACTCCTTAATTTTCTTGGCTCCACTCTATATCCAATCTGTGAAGAGATTCACCAATGATTTCTAAAAAACGCTCCTCATATTAAAAACTTTTCTCACGGTTTTCATTATGTCTATTTAAAAAAAATCTGTTTTTTTTTATTGATTTTATAGAGGAAGGAAGAGGGAGATAAACATCAATGATGAAAGAAAATCATTGATCAGCTGCCTCCTGTCCCCCTCTCCCCCACTGGGGATCAAGCTTGAAACCTGGGCATGTGTCCTGACTGGAATTGAACCATGACCTACTGGTTCATAGGTTGACACTCAACCACTGAGCAACATTAGCCAGGCCATTATGTCTAGTTTTGCTCAGGTCTTCATTCCTTCATTTGTAGATTATTGTAACTTCTTTATTGGTCATTTTATTTCTAATATTTTCTTTTATTATTTTTTTCACAAGCGTTCTTGCAGTGTAATTTTTCTCAAACATTGCTTTAATCATATTTTCTCTACCATGTTCATGAAACATACTAGCTCTTTATTAGCTAAATCTGATATCTTCACTTATTATTTATAGCTCTGTACTCAATTTATTTATTTAGTTTCCTATATAGTTTCACTTCATCACAATCTCTCCACACTAGTTATGCTTTTTCATAATTTATCTGTCTTTGTACATTTGGTTGTTTATTGAAATTTTCTTTTCTAAAATCAATCAATGTCACCTTCCACTATGGCCAACTTAAGATTCACTATCTTGTGTTGTCTTCTGATCTCCTAAATATTTTTAATTTATTATGCATAACTTGCTTATATTCTTTAGTTATTTCATCTGTTATTTATAAAAATCATAACTTTGAGTACAGTGACATTTTTCTATTAATGTATTTGACCTTTTAAAAACCAGAAAAGTCAAAGAGGGTGAGAGAAGATGAAACAGAACTACATTTAATCAAAATAAATTAAAACATTTAGGAATCATTACCCCAAATAACTTTGGGAAGCTTTTGGTGACTCATTGATTTCACAATAACCTTTCCCAGTGTTTTTCTGTTCAATCTTTTCATATCCCTTCATATATCTCCTTGAAAAAATTCAAATAGCCCTAGCCGGTTTTCTCAGTGGTTAGAGCGTCTGCATGCAGACTGAAGGGTTTTGGGTTTTATTATGATCAGGGCACATACCTCAGTTGCAGACTCCTACAACCAATCAACGTGTCTCTCTCACTTCGATGTTTCTCTCTCTCTGTCTCTCCCCTTCCCTTCCACTCTTCCTAAAAAATCAATGGGGAAAAATATCCTTGGGTGAGGATTAATAACAAAAACTCCTTGACCTCTGAAATGTCTCTCTCTCTCTCTCAGTAATTCCACACCTGTTTTCCAACCCAATCACTTAAAAAAAAAGGAAATAAAAAAAGAAAGAATACAAATGGTTACCTGCAATAAATTAACAAACACCTTGTTATAATATGTATTTCTTTATTCAACAAATACTAGGGTGTATAATGTATAGAAATAATTGTGATAATCTTTATACATATTAAGGTAAATAAGACATGGTCCATATAAGATTTAGTAAACAAATAACTTGCATAATTATAGATCAATTACATTTGATAAATATGTCTGTGTAATTAAATTTTTAAAAGGTTAAATTGAAAAATAAATAAATATGGTGTGCATATAATTAAATAACTATAACCCTATTAGCTATACATCAAGAAAACAGTGCCATGTAGGGTTCTGGAGTTTAGGAGAGAACATAAGCTAGTAATACAGTTTGAGAATTTTCTATACTAAGACAATAAATGAAACCAAGAGGGAGAAGTGTATTTGCTATGGGAAGCTATATATAACCAGAGGTCCTAGAATAAAATACTAGGGAACACTTCTTCTTAATAGAATTGTCAGAGGAAGAAAAATCAAGGAAGGAGTAGTCATAGAGGGAAAAGTAAAACAATAAATGTATAGTTTAGAGAAAGCCTTAGGAGAAAACTCAAAGAGAAGTTGGCCAGCAATGTCAAATAGTAAATGGAGACTTAGGAAGATGAGGGCTAGAAAAGGACACTGGATAAGAGGTAAAGAGATTACTGGTGCTACCACCTGAGATTGTTTTGAGTAGAGTGTGGAAGGATTTGAGTAGAGTGATTGCTTGGTAAGGAAGGAGAGGCAGAGTGTAGTAGAAGGGAAGAGAGCAGGGTGCATTTGAGGTATTGTAGATATCAGTGGATGGGGGAGAGTGAACAAGCACAAGGGAAGTATTTGGTTGAGCAAGACCTCAGAGAAGATAGAAGGTGTTGATGTCAAGACGTCAGGTGTACATAGGGTGAACTAGCCTATGGAACCTCAGAGAAGGCAGAGACAATGGGCAAGCACATTTTGAAGTAAAGAGAAAGATAGTAGAAGCAGCTCATGTCTGAATTTTCAATGAGCAGGGAGGGTGCAGCATAGATTCTGAATCGTGGACAAGTTATGAGAAACTGGTGATGAAATTTCAGATGAGTGAGAAGTTAATGAGGACTGTTGGAAATAGATGATAAGAATGTGAAGGGTAAGAAAGGAGATCATAATAAAAGTGAAGTATCAATAATAGTGAGGACAAAGCCAGAGGAAGTTTCAAGTGGGAGATCTGGGAGAAAAGCTTTTATGAGGAATACTAGAGGCCTAGTGCACAAAATTCATGCAATGGGGGGGGGGGGGACAGGACAGTGTGTGTCCCTCAGCCCAGCCTGCACTCTTTCCAATCTGGGACCCCTCGGGGGATGTCCGACTGCCCTCTCACAATCCAGGACTGCTGGCTCCCAACTGCTCGCCTGCTTGCCTGCCTGATTGCCCCTAACCATTTCTGCCTGCCAGCCTGATCACCTCTTAACCACTCCCCTGCCAGCCTGATTGACGCCTAACTGCTCCCCTGCCAGCCTGGTTGCCCCTAACTGCCCTCCCCTGCCAGCCTGATTGCCCCTAACTGCCCTCCCCTGCCAGCCTGGCCCCCCAACTGCCCTCCCCTGCATGCCTGGGTCCCCCCCAACTGCCGTCCCCTGCTGGCCATCTTGTGGTGGCCATCTTTGACCACATGGGGGTGGCCATCTTGTGTGTTGGAGTGATGGTCAATTTGCATATTACCTCTTTATTATATAGGATGCCACAAGAAACTTAACATCACATGGCATTGCATTAGAATTCCTTTAAAAATGTGGCTATGGAAAGCCTCAAAATAATCTTACTCTGTCTTGTGGCTTCAATGATAGCATGATCCTACCCTATGGGCTCTAGCAAGTCTTTACCTGTGACCCGGAAAAAGTGAATCTGGAGGCTCAGAGAAAGTGGCTTTAAATTATAAGGCTTCTTCTTCAACGTTTACAGAAGCAATCTTGTTACTTATATGAACACCAGCTTAAGATACTTGCAAATTGACTATCTAAGGCAAAAATACCTAAAGCAAAAACAACTCAGTTTTGAGACTCTTCGTGGAATTAGGACTCCTGATGTGGATATATAACTATACTATAACTATATTTTCTTTTATTTTTAGGGTTTGTAGAAACAGGAGCTATCATTGGTCCTTTGTTTGGACTTTTGTTAGCGTCATTCTGTGCAAATGTTTATGTCGACATCGGATCTGTAAACACAGGTAATTCATTAAAATCTAGTCATAGTGTCTAGAGTATACAAAGCCACTTCAGGTATGCTACCACATTTATTGTTGCTTTACTTGACCTTCAATTAGATAGATTCACTATTGTCAAGGAGTTTAAACTAAAGTGGAGGAGTTTAAATAAGTTTTTAAATAATTCATACCAGTGTGCAGGAGAGCAAGATAAAATTCTGATTTTCTGACTCAAAATCCACTGCTCTTTCTACTGCACCAGAACATATTTCTTTTTTTTCTTTTTTTAAAAAAATATATTTTATTGATATTTTACAGAGAGGAAGGAAGAGGGATAGAGAGTCAGAAACATCGATGAGAGAGAAACATCGATCAGCTGCCTCCTGCACACCTCCTACTGGGGATGTGCCCACAACCAAGGTACATGCCCTTGACCGGAATCGAACCTGGGACCCTTGAGTCCGCAGGCCAACGCTCTATCCACTGAGCCAAACCAGTCAGGGCCATATTTTCTGTTTTTAAAAGATTTCAGCATATAGATTTGAATTTCTTTTAATCAAGCAAACATTTGTGGATGATTAAATAGACCTTGTAGTTATTTAATAAGTATATACTTATAAATAACTTACATGGTAGAGCATATCTCCAAATTTATTGCTAGACATTATTGTAACACTATGCATTGTCAGACAACTTTTATGAATATCTGAATTGTATACAAACTCTATACTTGGATAGGACCTGTAATTTTTTTTTCTGTAGTTCACATGAGAAATGACTAAAACTAATAAAAAATGTGTATATTTTTTTACAGATGAGCTGACTATCACTCCAATTGATACTCGTTGGGTTGGTGCATGGTGGTTTGGCATTTTGATTTGTGCAGGAGTGAATGTGCTCACTGCCATTCCTTTTTTCTTTTTGCCCAAAACGCTTGCAAAGGAAGGATCAAAGGATAATGCTGACATCGTCAAAAATGACAAAGAAGAGAAACAAAAAGAAGTCAAGAAGGAAAATGATGGAATTACTAAAGGCAAATATAAAAATTTTAAATATTATATAATTTACTTTTTGTTTTGTATAGATGTGTCTCTATTTGAGTCTAGCACTGTAACATGCTATGCTGCATTAGGACAATTTGCCATTAGCAGTCAGCAGTCAATAATGTCTAACTAGTCTGATACTTCCTGTGCTACTACTTGGAAATAAGTAATATAATGTGGAAGCTGAATTATCTCAGATCAGTATTTATATAAAATTCTTTATCAATCGGGGCACTCAACAAACTATTTCTTTATTTCTTTATTTATTTAGTCCCATTTGCCTTGAAGGTCAAATTTTTTAAAAAGAAATTAAGCCTGACTGGTGTGGCTCAGTGATTGAGTGTGGACCTGTGGTTGATTCCTGGTCAGGGCACATATCTGGGTTACTGGCTTAAACTCTAGTGGGGAGTGTACAGGAAGCAGTTGATTGATAATTCTATCTCATCATTGATGTGTCTATCTCTTTCTCCCTCTCCCTTCCTCTTTGAAATAAAAGAAATATATATATACATAAAAAAAAAAGAAATTAAGCCCTGGCTGGTTTGGCTCAGTGGATAGAGCGTCGGCTTGCGGACTGAAGGGTCCTGGGTTCGATTCCAGTCAAGGGCACATGCCTGGGTTGTGGGCTAGGTCCCCAGTAGGGGGCATGCAGGAGGCAGCTTATCAATGATTCTCTCTCATCATTGATGTTTCTCTCTCTCTATCCCTCTCCCATCCTCTCTGAAATCAATAAAAATATCTTTAAAAAAAAACCTTAAAAAAAAGAAATTAAATCTAAGAACAAAAGGAGGAAAAATATACACTAATCTGAGTAAGTTTACAGTCCTGAATCCAAGGATGTTAGCTTAGCTGTGAGCTTCCTGGAAATTAAGGCAGAAAAAGAAAAAAGAAAGCAAGATATATAATTGTCTATATTTGATAGATATAGACAAAGAATAGTAGTTCTTAAGGAGAAAATCTTCCCCAAGTAACAAATTGTAAAAAAAAGAAAATAATTGTCATATGTTATGATTTAGGTAGTATTGAACCCATAGTTGTTTCCCAGCAAATGTAGGAGTATATTTCATGTAACTGCTCTCCTTCTTTTTTTCTCCTCCTCCTCCTCCTCCTCCTCCTCCTCCTCCTCCTCCTCCTCCTCCTCCTTCTTCTTCTACTCCTTCTTCTTCTTCTTCTTCTTCTTCTTCTTCTCCTTCTTCTTCTTCTTCTACATCTTCTTCTTCATCTTCCTCATCTTCTTCTACTTCTTCTTCTTCTTCTTCTTCTCCTCCTGCTACTCCTGGTGGT